GGGGGGGGGGGATGATGACGACATTGGTACACAGACACCCCGAACAATATCTCCACAAGAGCCGTTTTACTCGGTATTTACAGTACTTTCGTGATAGCGGACCCTCTTCTATGATGGTGGTTGATGATGGTGATCATGATGATGATGATGCATGATGAAGGATGATGATGGATGATGATGACCGGTGATGCTGGTGGATTGAGGCGCCAGGTGGTTGGTAGGAGGGGGGGGTGGCTAGTAGTAGTAGTAGTAGTAGTAGTAGTAGTAATTAGTAGTAGTAGCAGCAGCAGCAGCAGTAGCAGCAGCAGTAGCAGTAGCAGCAGCAGTAGCAGCAGCAGTAGCAGCAGCAGTAGCAGTAGCCACCCGTAGCAGTATCAGTAGCAGTAGCAGTAGCATTGCTAGATATTGTTACTGTTCTTATTGCTATTGTTATTGCTATTACTTTGCCTCCTGCATTGCGGAGCGAATCACTAAGCCGGGTGCCAAGTTTGACAACTGTGAATCCTACGCCCGTGTGTTATTGCGATTGTTATTGTCATTGCTATTGCCGCTGTTATTGTTTTCCCAGATAGCTTTAGCTATTAAGGCTTCTAGCTAAATAAGGAGCCCGCTGCGTCCACCGCCGCTGCGGGGGGCCCAGTGCCGGCCGGTGCAGGCACCAGCCGGGTCCAAAAAAAACTCAAAAAAGCTCCTGGGCCCGCCCAAATTGCCAACAATCGACTGAATCCAGTTGATTTGGACTGACTTCTGGCTGGAAAACTAGCCAACTTTAGCAACAAGTGCACGGGTCCAAAAACCGCTCCTCCCCGCTCAAATTGCCAAGGAAAAGTCAACCAAACTCAATCGATTTTTTGGTCGAGTTTTGGGAAGCAACAATGCTCCTGGACGCGCCCCAGAAAGTAATAGCTGATGACCTGAGGGAAGCCTTTGACGTGCAGCAAACTGGAGGACAAAAAACCAACTGTTAGTGTTCTCCTCACACAGACACTTTCCTTGTCCTCCCATTCCTTTGCAATATTCTCTCTTTCCTTTTCTTGCCTGTGCACATTCCTTTGCGTGTGCCTTTTCCTTGGTACATACCTTCTCCATACTATATACCCCTTTCCTCCTCTCCTTAGTTTCTTCCTTTTCCCTGTCTGCTGGACCACCTTCCTTGCTCATGCTTCGCACAGTCAGAGGTCTGCTATTGAGATAGCTAGACACAATCTCCATTAATGTGTTGATGTTACGAACATTAAAACGCAAGTGCTGCTGCATTGGACCAGTCGTTTTCTGCATAAATAGTGTGATCAGGAGGTCATTGTCCAACGGCCGGCCAGTCGCCTTGTTCCGACGACTCTTCAAAATGATGAAATCACTCAGATCACTCTCCAGTTGATCACTTCTCAGCATGAACGAAAAGATCTCATTCAGGAGAATCGTGGCTCTCGCTTGTTCAGGCATTGCAAACTGTCTGCACAGTCTTCCCGAGTTCAGCGTTTTATATAGGGTTTAGGGCTTATAGGGCTTAGGGTTTCGGGTTTATAGGGTTTATAGGGTTTAGGGTTTAGGGTTTAGAGATCTCAAAGCCATTCTGTGTCCTGATTTCGAAGAAGCGGTGCGATTGGCAGCAAGTTGTTTGATTGATGTGTTGTCGGGAATGGAGCTGCAGCTTGGTGCATTGTAGATGTGGTGAGATTGGCAGCAAGTTGTTTGATTGATGTGTTGTCGGGAATGGAGCCGCAGCTTGGTGCATTGGGGGTTTGCTGTGCGTGCCGGATTTGCGTGAGAGCTCGTTTGACTAGCTTCAGCAGATTGGTGGCGTGATTGCTGCGGCACAAGGCATGAAGAATGCTCATGGTTACACGTATGACGTGTGGAAGTGAATGAGCCACAGCTGAAACTGATTCGGCACGTCAAGACAGACAAGGAAACACTCGATCCTCGAATCGAAGCCTCCAAGACTTTGCCAACACAAGTTGTCCCGATTGACTGGCGAAAGAGTGACATACAAGATGTACAATGAGGGGTCGACCGTCACTGTCAGGGATAGGAATTTCCTGACCTTGGCAAACATCCGGCCCAGTGACCCGAAAGAATGGAAAGGCCGGGTGGAGCTTTAAATTGCGCCACAAGCCGCAATGGAGGCATGTGAAGAAGAGCGAGCGCATACATTGCAATTTGCAGATTGGTAAGCCTGAGCCTCAAACAGCGCTGCGCGCACCAAACTGCAACCAACTGGTAGACCTTCCTGGTTAAGCCCTTTGACAACCATTTATGTCCGAAACCATGAACCTCTGATGCTTCCCCAGCTATCTGGGTTCTTCGCCGGTCTAATTAGTATTTCTAGTGTTGTTCTTGCTGTTGCTGTTGTTGTTACCTATAGACAGCAAGCACAACCACAAGACTCGGTTCGGAAATCTTGCATTCTGGAGGCTAAGAGGCTAAGATCAGAAGGGCCTCAATCCCAACATGGCTGGCCTTCTTCTAGCTAATCCAACAAAGCCATGTGCAAGCCAAAAAGCTGACTTGCCACAGCAGATGCGCTAAGAAGCGCAGAGTCTAACCAGAATTGCCTGGGTGCAGAACAACGCGGACAGACTGCTGATGTCCAACAGTACGGTATGGCATGGTTGTGACCTCCTGCAACTACAAGAGAGCTCTCTGGGTGGCACCGGAAGCATCCCGAGACAAGCGTGCCATGTCGCTGTCTTTCGCCGAGTTTCGGATGCTCGAAGCCAAAGTTCATGGCAGGAACCAGGCTTCCCGTTGCCTTAGCACTCGTCTGCTGCCAAAGCCGAAGCCCGTTGACTGCTTTCTGCCATGGATACGCGCGTGGCCCGTTGCTGGCAAGAAGTCTCATTTTCATCCTGTCTCACGCCGGCCTAAGCCTTGTGCTCTTGAGCATCTAATGCAAAACACGACAAGGCTGCACTCGGTGATGACGGGCGATGTTGAAAAGAGCTGGACGTCTGCAACCGGAGGACGAAGCAGCCTACGCTTTCTAGATGTGGCTCTGAGCTCTCGGTCCCATCACGCCCTGACGCTGTGAGACCAACAACTCGGAACGAATCATGCGCACCACAAAGACTGGCCGTAGGTGGACTGCTCGCGGCTCATTCCAATGTAATCTCCGGTATGTGTGACTCGGATTTTCCGTCCCCCTGTGAACCCGGTGGTGAACTTTGAGAGCCAATGCCGCTTCACGGCCCTCGACTTGTCCACCACAACGACGGGCACTGACAGTGGAGTCCCTACCAGCAACCTCCACAGCCGGAAGGCGGCAAGACGGCGGTTGCCCAGCGAGTAGAAGCGGTGTCGAAACCAATAAACCTCCAGACTAAACTGAGAGATGTCCAAGTCGCCATGAGCAAGTGCCTGCGCCAGCTCCAGGATGGATGCCGCTGTTGAGGTGCCTGTCTCAATGGGTCTTCGAAACTTCGCCGCGCAGTGCCCCTGGCTGAACATGATGTCCAAAGGGTCCAGCCACCCGGGGCCTAGTGGCAACAGTTGTTGCGGAAAAGGAGGTTCAGGCTCGAGCTCTTCGCCGGCTACATCGTCCTGCTCGCCAAGATACACCGACTGCATCGCGACGACACCCCGACGCGCCTGAAGCCGCGCCTCCCGGATGGAATCTGCCACCTGTATTGCACCGAGGTCATGGCGCAGGACAAACGTCACTTCCCTCATGAACTCGTCGAGCCGACGGAGGGTTCGCACGACAATCCCCTCACCGCCAACCGGCACCCGGCTCTGCAAGACGGCTTCGGTGAAGTCGTCTCCGCGAGCCCATCTGTAAGCAGTTTCCGCGAAGCTCGGGTTCACGCGTGCAGCGGCGAAAGCAGCTCCATCGCAAAACCCACATGTCAGCTGATCGCAGCGTTCGAAGCACGGAAGCGAAAAGGTGTGGAGTCGGCAAGCCATTTGCTGAGCTACGCTTTTACAGGTCGCAATGCTCTCTTTGACCTTGGCGTCGGAAACGTAGCGTTTCCAGTTGTCCGGATGCCTTCCCTCTGCGACGAAGCATGCGCACACTGCAAAGATCTGCGCAGCACTCAACCCAATGAAACCATGCAGGGCCAGGACGATTTCGGACACAAGCAAGCCATCGTCTGGTACGAAGAAGTGACAAGCAAGAGTTCCTTTCGGCAGGGCAGAGCAGGAGGAGTCCACGAAGTTCATGGCCTGCGTGGGAGAACCCAAGCAGATAATTGCCATGGGCAGCAGTCATCATATTAATGCTAGTATTATTCTGATTATTAGTATTATTATTATTATTAGTACCATTATCATTATTATTACTATTATTATTGTTGTTATTATTATTACTATTATCAGCAGTTTTGAAGCGGCTGGCCTGCAGGGCGCGTATCTTCCGCTCGGCCTCGTCCTTGAGCTCCTCTGCCGCCAGGGGATCGGCGAATGAGAGCAGGCTGTTCGTGAGCATCGAGTAGAGGTGCGCTGGCCCGGTGGAGATGAGATGCAGCAAAGAGGACCAACGAAGCCGAAAGCAACTGGAAACCTGGGGCCCTCAACCCTACACCCTTTTTTATTGAGCCCTAAACCCTAAACCCTAAACCCTAAACCCTGAACCGTGCCTGAGGCGCCGAGGAAGAGTACAAGTCCTCGAGAATGTACTCCACAGGCTGGTCCAGGATCTCGGAGCTGTGCAGCATCACATAGACGTGGCCTGCCAAGGGTCTTCCATCTTCAAACTCCCCCATAATAGACATAATAATAATAATACTAATAATAATCATAGTAGTAATAATAATAACAGTTACTATTATATGCTTATCCGAACTAGATCGAGCTCTTGCCAGATGGAAAGACACCAGGCATTTTACAACTTTACAACCCATCAGCCCACCTTGAGGGTCCTTTCCCCGGCGGCCCGCGCGTCCAGCCATCTGCGCAAACTCCCCGGCGTTCAGCAGTCGACGCCGCTGCCCGTCGAACTTCACCAAGTCCATGAAGATCACTGACTTGGCCGGCATGTTTAGGCCGATGGCGAAGGTTTCGGTGGCGAAGACAACTGGCAGCAGGCCCTCCACAGGGACAGAAGGCGTGTCTTGAAGAAGGAAGAGATCGCTGCAGTAAGATGGAACAGCCGTCGCGAACACCATAACTTCGTCAGATGCAGAGGTCCATCGGAACCTATGGGCGAAAATGGAGGAGTGTGAGGCACAAATCAAAACCGATCAATTTCGGGGAAGTCCTTTTCAGACATCCCCTGGCCCCCGAATCCCAAGCTGCGAAAGAAGCCCAAAACTCTACTCTTGTTTTTTTGGAACCCAGGCTCGAATCCTGTTCAGCTGGGAAGTCGGCCACACCACTGCTCTGACGGAACTCTGATGAACAATCCGAAATCATCTCAACATGTCCCGACTTCCACCTTCGCTTGCCGCTCAGAAACTCCACAGGACAGCCCACGGACCGGATGAACACGTGCATGGCGCTGGCAGTGATCGCTCCAGAATCCAGGCCCTGCAGGCAACACGTCTCAAGGAAAACACAAGCGATTTCACACATCCACTTACCTTGAGCATTAACACCAGCTCTCCAACTGACCTGAGCTCTAAACCTGACAGCTCCTGCAGATGCGAGGCGTCGCTGACAAACCAATGCGCCGGGAGTGCGGCTCCTGTTTCGCCAACTGTGCTCGTACCTATTCGGCCTAGACAAGTTAAGACTGATGGCAAAGCGACCCCGACCGACAGACAGAAAGGAAGCATGATAAGCATGCTTTTCGGCACAACGATTTGTCACTACCCGGCCCAACACTCCCCATGACCGCGTGGTAGCAGATATTTCCAAAGCCCAGTCGTCTCCTGCTACAGGAAGTTCCTCACTTGCGTTTTCTGTCAAATCGTTACCTCAGCTGATACTGATGTCAGCATCGGTTGCCACACAGCATCCGGTCTCGCATCAGATGAGGCAAGCCACCATACCCAGCACCGTCGGCATCTCGGGCGACAATGCCCAGGGTCTGCAGATCTGCCAGCTCTGGAGCGATCCTTGTTTTCTTGCTATGGACATGTGTGTTCTCATTGCAGGTATAGGGTTTAGGGTTTAGGGGTAGCACTAGAGCGACCTGCTCCTGTCGCTACGGAGGCCATCTCCACCAGGGAACGAGCGAGGGACCGACTGCGAAGACTCCAGGTGCTCTTGCTCTTCGTCCTGCTCAACCTGCCAGCTTTCGGCGAAAGGCCCGGGCAGCAGACGATGCCGCGCACAAAAATGAAGTAGGACTGCCTGGATGTAGTTGCAAGCACAAAGTACAGGCGAAGTCTCACACAAAAGCCGGGGAAAGCCGAGGGTCAAGCCTCCAGAGCATCTTCTATGTCCTCATGTGCTCCATCCGCGGAGTCGTCGGAGAAACTGTCATCCACTTGCCTCAATTTCCCCCAGGTCAGAGAAGCTGGGCTGAAGAAGCCCTGGGATGAAGCTCCACCTCGAAGCCTTGCTTTGCAAGCGGCACAGATGAAACAGCAGCCATCCAGGTGGATTATCTGTACTTGAGAGAAAGATTGCAGCGGCACATGGTGGCTGCCGGACCGTGGTGCTGCAGGAACATAAACATTCACGACACACCGCACGCAGCTCTGTCTCCAGGCGACGGGCCAGCAATGTCGCCAGAGAGACAGTGGCCGACAGGAGATTGATGTACAACATCTGATTGTACTTCGTCGTTTTGTGCTCCTTCCAAGTCGCACTCAGCAGGACCAGCAATCCGCTCACGACTGCAGACAGCGGTGAGCGCATCGAGGCTTTAGCCTTGAAGAGCTTTTCTTGGAAGGTTGAAGTTAGCCCGTCAAGAGCCAGGAAGCCGCCCAGAAGAAGGAAGCCCTTGGAAGGCTTGTCGGTGCTCTTTAGGGTTTAGGGTTTAGGGTTTAGGGCCTAGGGTTTAGGGTTTAGGGTTTACGTTCTCACAACTAGGGTTTAGGGTTTACGCTCTCACAACTCGGACATGCCAGGGTTTAGGGTTTAGGGTTTAGCTTAGCCGCGCCTTGAAGCTGTTGGCGGAACTCACCTTCGAGTGCATGGGACCTGCCATGTTTTGACTGGTCTCAGATCATCGTGATCATAGTCGTACATGTAGGAACCATGGCAAACACAGCACGAACCAAAAACATAACAAAAAAACAACAAGAAGAGCAACAATAGCAACAATGTCAATGAGCAGAAGTAGAACTTAACAATAACGACATCAGTTATGATAACAGATGGCAATGATAAATAATGATCATGTTCCTAATGATGAAGAATTCTAATAATAATAGTGTTTTATAGTAATAAGAATAATCATGCGATTAGAAACAACAACATCATCAGCAAGAAAAATAGAAATAATAACAAGACCAGCCAGAATAATGACGCGACCGAGACCCCGGCCGGTCATCAGAAACTCCGTGCAGCCCAGTGTGACAGCGAGTGCCACCGACCAGTCCCTCATTCCTACGGAGAGCCGGAGGGGCTTTTGCTGAGGGTGCTTTGGGGGTCTTTTGGGGGTTTACGCTCTCACAACTCGGACAAGCCAGGCGAGGTTCATGGTGCGAGGTCGGCATGATACTGGAGGGTTTAGGGTTTAGGGGTGCGCAAAGAAGGAAGTTGCTCCCGCCAGCTTGCCAAGGGGCCGTATGTCTTTCCGGAGATGATGATGCCCCAAATCATCACGGGCATCATCTTGAAGCTCTTCCCAAGCATCCTCGGGGTCAGAAAAGATGGACGAGAGACCCCCCCTTTTTGGGTTTACGGCTTAGGGTTTCCGGTTTCGGGTTTAGGGTTGCAAATGGTCATTAAAGGATGGCTTTGTTGCACCTGAACCGAGGAGCCCCGGCACCTTAGAGAGACCTGCCGAGCGGAGTCCACCCTCTTTGCTTCCAAGCATCTGCACAGCAAAAGACACATATTTCAACGCCTCGTGGGCAGGCTGTTTGATGTAAACTGCAGGAGGTCATGTCACCCTAAACCCTAACCCCTAAACCCTAAACCCCTGAACACATGTTGCCTCGTACTGGCAAGAGCTGGCGTAGACATTCGACAAGGAGACGATCAGATATTTCCAAATGGGTGCCTGCCCACTCCAGTGCCAAGCTAGCTGCTACTTAGCTGAAACGCAGGAGGACGAGCGGCTGATTCAGGCAGCTACTTGCATTGCGCAGCCTCATTCTGCATTCTCTCACCCTTGACGAATGCCTCAGATCACTTTCTGCATCCAAACATGCTGTATCAGAGAGCCTTTCACTCGCCCCAAGAAGCCAAGAAAGAACCAATCTAGTCAGGTCTGCCATTGATGCAGCGAAGAGAACGGCGGCCAATCGGTTGCAAAGCACGAGAAACACCTCGGAAAGCGTGGTCTGGAGTGCAAAGGCAACTTGCCACCTGGTCAGCTAGCTTGTCATTGTACTTCACGTTTCTTACATCTGATCCTCACGTGGCGCTGCACCTGCTTGCTTGCGGATTCCTGCTGAATGCCATCGCTCACTCTTCATTCTCACTCTCATGCTGAATTCTCTCAGATCCATCCGGCTTCGGAGGACAGCGTGGCTCAGATTCGTGACTCAGCCCAGGCACTGAGTATGTGAAAAGGCTGCCGTCATACGACACCGTCATGATGCCTTCCTGCACCATCTCAAGCTCAACGGCACATAGGCACCAGGCAATCAATCCTCCCACACACAAAGCCGTGTGCACTCGAACGGCGGATGCCTGCAGAATGCCGTAGAGCACCAAGGTTCCTGGGTAGACGTGGTATACAGTCTGGGGTCGATCAAAGGATTGCCCACGCATGGTCCCGGCTGATACAGCTGCACAGCCGGAATGGCGCCGGAATGGCGTTCAACTCTCGCACTCGCTCAAATCTGACTGCATTTAGTGACTCCAAGGTCGTCGTCACGTTGGAGGTCATCGTCTTGGTCATCGTCTTGGTCGTCGTCGTGGTCGCGCTGTCGTCGTCTGCTCCGCAATGCTCCGCAATACCCTCTGAATTCAACAGCAAGTTTCCAATGATTCCCGCACCATAGAAGGCGCACCATGCGGCAGAAGTTGTAGAGACTTGACCTCTCCAGACACACACACACACACGCACACACACACACACGCGCACACGCACGCACGCACACACAAACCCGCACACACACACACACACCGTAGTTGCCAAGGCAACCAGTGCAGTTCTAGCCTGTTCCGACACTTAACCAGCAATGGATGCTCCACTTTGTCCCGAACTCCCGAACCTGCCGTGGCTAAGCCCCTCGCGCCTTCCATGATTTGGCATACACTTCGCTAAGCGGAGAGGCTGGATGAGGGTAAGAAACAGCGTTGTGAGCCCAAAGGGGCTGCAGGCCATGCCCCTCGGCTAAAATCCCTGCTACCTGAGACATGCAGGTCGCTGGGCTGATGCAAGGCCTGGGCTCGTTGCTAGCGCAGACGCCACCGTCACTCCAATGGGAGATAGGTTCGACTACGTAGAAACGCAACATGCCCGACCCCGACAACGGAGGTTGGACAACGGAGCGGCAAGCCAATGTAAACTTTTCAGGAGTGGCTCTAGCCATCTCACTGTCCTAAAAGATGCTAAAAAGAAAGTCACATGCACTCCCATGGAAAACCACACTGGTGGGAGGCTGCCATCTACAGGTGGCAGCCGGCAGGCACCGCCGCCGACACCTAAATGATACCGTCAGGATCAGGAAACTCAGTCTGCGGTCCCGACGTCCTGAAACTTCAAGCCAAATGACTTGTGCCAATGATTAATTCACCAGTGATCCCTCGAGTGCAGATCAATCCCAAATTCCGGCCGCGCAAGAAGCCTGACTGCACTTCGGATGGCCTGCAAGCACGCCTAAACGGATTTACCTGCATCGCCTCCGCCCAAAGGGGACTCCACAGCCTCCAAGCTTCACCACTTGATCTGACACCACCACATGCTGCATGAAAGCTTCAGGACAGAACAGAACAAGAACTAGCAACAGCAGCGGCTGCACCCCTGAACTGTACAACTGTGCCACGCTTGACGAAAGCCATGATGAGCACAACACCTCGCTGGAAAGTAAATAAAGCAGTGCAAGAGTGAATCACGTGCATCAGAAAGAAAGAAAGCATGAACGGGGAGAGAGAGAGGGAGAGAGAGAGAGAGAGAGAGAGAGAGAGAGAGAGAGAGGGAGAGAGCGAGAGAGAGAAAGAGATTTTGGCCTGGCGAACTGGCCAGTCCGTAGGCAGGAGAAATGCTACAGGTCCTTGTCCATTGATATTGATGAAGCGGTGCTCTTTTGGAGAAAGCAAGCATACCGCTGGGATCATGACAACAAGCCGCCAATCAAGAGGCACTGCGCTTTGACGACTATATCTCCTAAGCAGGCGAGGCGGAGCATGCAGCTTGCCCGCAGGAGACGGCGTAGTTGCTGCACCGAGAAAACCACTCTGAAGCCGTTATCCGTTATCCAGTCATGCATCCCGCGCTTGGCCACCAGAAAACCAATGCCATTCGCGGGTTTTTAGCGGAACAAAATGGCACGCACAGCTCCTGAAGATGGAGCCCCTTTCGCAGTATTGCAGGGAAGTGCTCCATGATTCGGGCCGGGATGCCATTCTTTCCTCTTGCTCTGTGCAGCAGGGCCTTTCCGATGTATCTGGTGCTGTTGCTGAAAAGGACGTAAATCACTGCTTGGTTGACTGGTGGGCTCCTCCTCTCTGCGGCATAGTTGTATGTAGCACGAAAATTTCGCAAGTTTCGCAAACGAAGACGAAGAGTCGGCAAATATGGAAGGAAGATTCTGCGTGACAGGCCGTAGATGTAGCTGTGCGCAAAGCGTCTCAGTTCCAACCGGAACTCTGGCACGTAGTGTTCGCTCTGATGACAAAAACAGCGACGACCCAAAAACACAGAAAGGATCTCAGTGGGTCCTGTCGTCCGGGGTACTCTCGGCGCTTACAATACCTGGATTCTGGCTCGCCACTCGTTTTCCATGACCCACGTACGTGTGCGCCTGTCAGCAGGCTTGCGGATGCCACAAAGCTTCTTCGAAGGAGCACTGGCGACTGTCTTCCTGGAAGTAAACAGGACAGCCGAAGAGTCACAATACGATGATGCTCTTCTTCTGATCCTGTTGTTTCAGGAGTCAACGAATGGTAAATCTCATAAGAGTTCGACACGGGGTTCTTCTGCGGATTCGGATCTGCGCCTTTGCCTTTTGATCCTTGTGTTCTTCCGTTTGCTTTCTTTTTCCGTGCCTCTCTGCATGAGGCAAATTCTGCGTATGAACAGGACTGTTGTTCATATGTGCATAGCTCCATCCTTGATCAGCATAGTAGCTGTCTTCGTGCCATTCATCCCAGTCCGGTGTGCTGGCTTCACAGGCTCCAAGGGAAGCGTTCGCCTGATCCCCTATTGAGGATGCGACCTTAGCCGAATCCTTCTGCTTTCCTTTGATAGCTCCTTTGAGAGACTTTCCTTTGTCTCTTTGTCTTTTCCTTTTCCCTTGCCCTTGCCACCTTTGTCCTTTCCTTTTCCTTTACCGTAGCAACTGGGATCGGATGGATGCTATTGTCCGTCTGCCTGGCTGCTCTGCCTTTTGAGCGATAATGCCTGAAGCGGCCTCGTGATCTTTGCTTGTCACCGGTAAGACGGGATGCATTCTTGGTCTCCTTCCTTTCTTGAATGTCCTTGCCACAACCTCTATGCCCGCCTTGGGAAGGGGCCAACCGCTTTGGCGCCTTTCCTGAGGGGGACCTGCCCAACACAAGCTCCGCTACCAGAAAACTGACCCGATATCCCCCTCCTATGGGAGGATACAGGTGCAGTATGGTCCCTTCACGACCTAATGACTTGTCGTTTGCACGCACTGCAGTAAGCCTTGTTTGTACTCGCTGGGAGAGCTGATAACAAGTGAACCACTTGGGCCACATGTTGCGGAACAGATATGTGAGCAGTTGTCATTGATGAAGGTACATGCCTGCACTGCCCTGAAGCAAACAAGGGGGAGAGGATGGGGAGAGGAGGGGGAGAGGCGGAGAGGGGGAGAGGGGGAGAAGGAGAGAGAGGGAGATAGAGGGAGAGAGGGAGAGCTGGAAAGTGAGGCATCTAGTCCCATCGCAGAGATTCGGTTGGACCGACAAGGGCTCAGAAGAAACAAAAGCGTATTGCATGTTCTGTACGTTTCCCTTAGCCCGAGGCCGTTCCCACCTTAGTTTACACAATTTTACACATGATGTCGGCCTGACGGCCACATGCAAGGCTTGGACGGCACTCCACTGGCCAGCCTTCTGATCTGCGAGAATGGGCGTCTTCTCGTCCTTGCTGGGCGCGTTTATCATGGCCGCAATCCTTGATGCATTTGGCGGCTCAGGCATGGAAGCCTTTCAAAAATGAACGTGGATCCACTGTTGCTTCCAAGATGGCCCAGGCACAGGCACTGCTACCGAGTTTCGACTTGTAGAAAAGAGCAGAGAAGATCAAGCAGAGGCCCAGAACTTGCAAGTGCGTCACCGGGTTGTGATACTTCACCTCGGCGGCTCATAAACGTTCATGCAGCAGATAGACCTGCCAAGCCCGGGCCAGCATGGTCATTGCAGGTTCTTGTGAATGTCGGGTGGCATAGGACACCAGGATGGACACGACCTGGCGAACGTTCATCGTGGCCGCAAAGACCAGGGCGCCAAACTCTTTAATCTGCGAGTAGATGAAGAACCTTAGGTCTATGTCATACCGACAAACTGCTCATTCTCAGCTACATGGTAAACAAGCGGCCACTGTTTGTTTTCCAATCACTTATTTTTCGTGCACTTGCCTAGCGAAGAAAAGGGGCACTTGCAACTGCTGACCCTGTCGGCACCTGTACATTCTTCCGTCTCCCTGCTCCTTCTTCTTTCTCTGCTCCTTCCTTCTCGCCCGTTGCTTCTCCCATTGCCTTGTTACGCTTTGCCCAGGGCTTCAAGTGCGAGCCACTCCCGACATCTCCCGACACCAAACACGCCCTTTTCTTTGTCCCAGTATGTTTGTTCTTCTTGCTCTTCTCGCTCTTCCTCCTCACTGCGTGATTGCTATGTCTGTTTCCGAACCCTGAGCCAGGCGGCGGTGCCCGCTTTTCGAACAGCAAGCCAGTTGACTTTCGCCAGGCAAATGGTGGTATACACTATAACTATAACATTACATATCACCTTCTTACATTACTACACACCGACAAACCAGATCAAGTGAGTCATGCTGCTGGCTTCCCACCGCCGATGCACTCAACAGGCCGCAGTCCAACCAGAAGCGCCTTAGCCGTTGGGGCTTTGGGGGCTTGAGGTTCGGGAATTTCTAAGCTGAGCTTGGCCACGCGCACCTCCCCGTGCTACCCACGTCGACATCATGAACAATCCCAAAATGCGTCTTCTGATGAAGCGTTGACCATTTTGCATCCAGGTCTATCGCGACTGCCAGGGACCCCTGAAGAATGGATGCCTGCACCTTGACAGTAAGAACCTGATCGAGAAACCATCCGTCTTGTCAGAACCTAGATCAGAACCATGGGTGTCGCAATGCGGCTTCTTACTGCTCTACTTTGTTTCCTGACGGCTGATGAGGTTTCTGAATGAAAACAATGAGTTTCACAGTTATGTATACTAGTGTTACTATGGTTGTGATCATTACCATTACTATTGCTACTATTAGTAGTATTACTCTTACTATTTATTTCTCGGAAAATTGTTTTTATTCACAATACATACGTTTGGTTCCTACATCAAAGATCCGAGGAGCGGGTGGGCGAAGCCGAAAGCTGCCGCTGGCCACAGTTCTCCGGTCACCTTCGGTTTTTGGGGGGATTCATGGCGGACCCGTCATCGTGCTTACAGCTCAAGGAGCAGTAACTCGGTAGATAAAGAAATACAGTTGCAAGGGTGAGAAAGAGGGTGGGCATTTGTTGACCTGACCGGAGCTCAACCGATGCAGTTGCTCTGCTGCTGAGACTACAAAACGCAGACCCGACATTCTCATCACAATTCTGAAATAATGTCAGGGTAGTTGTGGACGAGCTCCACTACCATCACAACGTGGCATGGTGAAAAGTACGCGTACTCTGGTTTGTGGCGTTGTGATGATTCGGTTACGTTGTGATGATTTGGTTATCCATCTTGTAGGACTGTCATGAAACTATGCCCGGGATGGGAACTGTGTTGATCTGTCCGAATCCAACTATGTCCTCTGGTGCTTGTTCTATAGGTCCTTATTCCTTTGATGAAACGTCTTGTGGCATCCTGAACTCTGTGCGCCATCATGAACACTACTAGTCTCATGGCTGCAAGTGCTATGACTACCACTCCGGCCAACACGCTGTCACCTTGTGCTGAGGCGTTCACCAAGAGCGTGACCATTGACACAGTGGCAGAAAGTAGATTGATATACAGCATCTGGTTGTACTTGGTCGTCTTGTGCTCCTGCGCCGACAGGTCCGAAGGCAACACACGGTAACACACGCCTTAAATTCCGAAGGCCTTGAAGAGCTTCTCTTGGAATGTTGATGTCAAGCCATCGAGGGCAAGGAAGCCACCAAGCAGCAAGAAGCCCTCGCGCGAACTCACTGCTTCGAGGATACAGGCCGATCACAGCTCAAGGTCTTGAGAGAAATCAAGACACACAGTCCGGGAGAACTTGATGCCTTGAAGCTGTTGTTAGCATCCACCTTGGAATGTGTTGGACCTGTCGGACCGAAGCACTCTACCATGTCTCAAGTCGGCCATCGTGTCTCTTGCTCAGCTTCAACAACACAATAAGCTGCTGGAGCAGGAGCTGTGTGCTCGAAAAGCAGGTAACACATGCCAAGGGCCTGTCATCAGGAACTCCGTGCAGCCCAGCGTGACGGACAGGGCTATCATCCAATCACGTGCACCTGATGCTTCCGCTCAAACTGCTTGACAATCGAAAAGACTGCTGTAGGCGGAAACCCTCGGGCAAGGAGCTGTAGGACTTGCCGGAGATGATCATGCCCCAGATCCTCGATTCCAACTCGCTGGCGCCGTGCCAAGGATGTCTGAAGATCACCTATGAACCCGTGCGCTGGCGGCCAGGCATCATGACCGGCATCATCTTGAAGCTCTTTCCCAACATCTGCACTGCAAAGGAGACATACTTCAGTGCCTCCCGAGGAAGGCGAAGGAGGGCCGGACTCTCCGAGAAGGCGTGGGGCAGAGTCATTTTTAGAGTTTGGGGTCTCTCTGGGTTTCTGCTGCCTCGTACTGGCAAGAGCTGGCGTAGACGTTGGAGAGGGACACGACGAGGTATTTCCACAGCGGGGCCTCCACAGCCCAGCCATTTCGAACTCGAAAACAAACAACAACCGGGTCCGAAAGCAACGGCTCACTTGACAGGCCAGCCACTTTACAGGCGGATGTGCAGAGGAAAAAGTCTGAGAGGGAGAGAGAGTGAGAGAGACACAGAGACAGAGACAGAGAGCAAGATTGACAGATCGGTCCAGGACCTCATTCTTCATAGACTCGCCCTTCGCGATTGCCTCGGCGGCATCCATTCTGAAGACAATGGGTGCTCCCAACGAACATCTTGGCTCGAGTGGCTGGCTACTGAGCTTCTGTACGCACCGACACCTTCTGCATCCATGCGTGCAATCGCTCTCTAGATTCCAGATAGTTTGAGATCAGGTATGGGTTTGTCTAGGTCTTGGCAGCAAATGAATATCAAAACCTGCGGCCTCAAGGCGCAAGGAGAAGTGCGTTTCCTCTGCTTGCATCGAGCTGACCATGGCAACTGCAAAGGCCACCGCTGCCAGGCGATTGCAGAGAACGAGGAAGACCTGAGGAGTAAAGCGAAGATATCAAAAAAAAAATCCAGCATCAGAGGAGGACGACTGAATTGCTGGCGTTCTTCATGCTTCGATCAGCCAGGGCTCGGAATATCTGAAGAGGGTGCCGTCGTAAGCTACCGTCATGATGCCCTCCTGGAAGGCGCGTACTAATTCTAGCTCTGCCTGAATACACTTTCTATTCGCACCTGCAGAAGCCTGCAAAAGAAGAACGAAAGCTCAAGAAGCAGACGGACGATTCGCAGGGCCAGAGCTGCAGCTCATGAAACGGAAACAAATCGCCGATTTTTGTTTGACAGCCGCCACAGCTGCGGTCCAACACATGCGTGCGGAATCTTGCTTTCCAGATGCCAATAACGATGTGACCTCCGGAGAGCCAACACAGGCGGCCTGTCCCCCATGCAACGACAAAGCGACGCAAAAACACTTCCACGCTCTTTTTTAGCCAAGTGAGGGGTTCTGGCCAGGGGCCCGCCGAAAGTGACGACGGGCAAGAAGAACGAGCCCAAAAGAAAGGAACTGTACACAAAGGAGGGATGAGGGTTTCGGATTTTTTGTTTGCCTCCCACCTTGCTAGGACTAGCCATTGTCTAGGGTTTGGGGCTTAGCCCGCCTGGAGGATGCCGTAGACGACCAGCGTGCAAATGATCCCAGCACCATAGAACCTGCTCACACTCGGCCGCGCAGTCCCTAGGCGAGAAAGAACGAAGGATTCCAAACGGAATACTGAAGACAATCTTGCTTTAATTGAGCTAATTCATGGGAGCTCACAGGCTCACATATAATTCATCGTCGACGGTAGCGGCGAACTGATCATGGATCATTGGTACTGGGAAGCACCCGGCACCGTCCCCGAAGGCCCAAACTGCCTCGAAATCGCTAGAAACCCAGAGTTACCGTTTCTACGCCCAAGTCGGCCGCCCGAAAAGAGGCCCGCCAGAATTCTCTAAACCCCCAAACCCCTAAATCCTAAACCCCTAAACCTCTAAACCCCCTAAAGCCCTAGAGCCCTAATATCAGAGAAATGCCATCCGAGGAGCACACACCAGGCGGCAGAGGACGAGCTCGGACCTGGCGAGCCGCTCTTGCGACCCTTGAAGTGACCCTGACATATTACTATTCTTACTATAATTAGTATTGTTATTATTAGTATTATTGTTATTACGTGTTATTGCAGTTGTTTTAGATTTATGATGTGTGTATATCATTATTACTATTATTATTGTTATTATACACCTTTGACAGTAAGAGCCCTGCTTAGAAACGGAAGGGGGGGTCTTTGTAGCAGCACACCAACTACACCAACTTGGATCAGCATCAAGCCCTGCATCGAAGCCGGTGCTTCCTTACAGACCGACGCACCCAATGCAGGAATGCGGCTCTCTGCCATTGGCGCGCCCGGCATTGCTTCGCTTCACGGGTAGTAATAAGGAAGGAGGATCGTGTGACTTTGAGCCGGGCTTCGACAAGCAAAGACGACAACCGAAACCGGAACTGCCGAAGGAACCGTTCTGCAGCTGCAACTCGCTTATCAAGGCAGTCCGTCTTCTTTGAGCATGGGGACATTGGGCAGACCAGGGCCTGAGACTCAGAACCACATCCGGCGCTGAACCAAGCAATCGGCTTGCCTCCTGTTCTGCTTCGCTGAAGGCATCGATTGTTTCCGCCTGTGGTAACACTTCCCTACTACCCTAAACCCTAAAGCAGCTGGTAAATCCGAGAACTCCACAGAGATCTTTAACGATTTCCCGCCTTCCGGCGCTCAAAGACTGTTCCTCGCAAGACTCCGGCATAGCTGCGGCGATGCAATGCCATAGCAAGTCTTGGGAGTACAGGCAATGGTGATCTGCTCGGCTCTTTCATTGAAATTGTTCTGTTCCATAACTGCCCATCACAATGACATGGATTTTTGGGCGGTTGCAAAGCTGCAGAAGTGGATACCCAACTTTGTTGCTTGCTTGGCCTATCACTCATCCGAGCCATGTCTGAAAGCCTCATTGCCATGTCCAAGATGGACACTGGACAACGTCGGAGACATGCGTTGCAGAGGCTTTAGGCTTGCAGCCTTGCAAGATGGTCTCAAGGTCCCATGAGATTCCCACTTGTCCGACCCATGCGATGAACACCCCTCTCGTTGCACAGCCTGCGCAAACAGGCTGTACCTCCCGCAAGGGTAAGATAAACCCCAAGTTCTATAGTCACTCATGGAAAGCCTTGGCTCAGTCCTGGCCCCTACTAAGCAACAAACTTGCGAAAGCCCGGACAGTGAACCCCGGGTTTAGGAAAGTTTAGGGTTTAGGGTTTATATAGGGTCCCCTGAACTCGTGAGATCACCTGAATCCCGATATCTGCGGCCCGGGGCATGAGGAACTCCATCTCGCGCTCGGAGAAGTAGGGCGCCTCGTGCACCGCAGCTCCAGGTTGCTGGACCTTATGGCCAGGGTATAGGGTTTTTTTTTAAAGCACCTTTTTCCCCCTCACAGTTAAGGGTTTAGGGTTTAGGGTTTAGGGTTTAGGGGAGACAGAAGATGTCCCAAGGAGAAGTCAACTCATCTAGCTGGGAGAAGTGCCTGCAAGGGACCACGCGGGTAAACGGGCTCGCAGCTGGGGCAGGGTGCAGACGCAGTGCTTCCCGCAACCTACGGCCTCCATCGGGGTGGTAGCAAGCTGAAGCAGTCATATCATATATCTGTGATGGTTCATACGACTAGGCTCACAAAGCCATGGGAATGCGAGGCTGGCAAGCGCCGTCCTTTGTCAATCGAACACATTGCGGCATCCAGCAGGCAGCCGTCGAGATATTCTGCCCTTTGCGTTCCTTCTCGGAGATCCCAAAAGAAAACCGGTCTCAGCGATGGCCGGACCACATATATCGCAACTATTTCCGATTTAGGGTTTAGGGTTTAGGGTGTTGGGGTTTGTACGGTTTGGGGTTCAGGGTTTTAGGGCTCATAGGGCTTATGGGGTGTAGGGCTGGAGTCAAGATTCGACTCGACGAGTGCACGCAAAGCATGTTGTGCAGAACAGCCGCACTCTTGACTGAAAGGCCAGTGGTCTCGGTTATAGTTGTATATATATATATGTTTATATATACATACATGTAACACATACATACCTCCATACCTCCATACCTCCATACATACATACATACATACATACATACATACATACATACATACACACACATACATATTTGTATTTATATTGATTATTGTTTCTGTTTTCACCTCGGACATCCTCAAACACAGGTTCTCATGGTGGCGCCTTGTCGGCAGCGAACCGGTGGCGCGGTGCAGAGCTAGTACTGGCCACGGACCTGGTCTCTCCATAGAGGCAAAAAACAAGGTAGACATGGGCTAGACTGTCGCTCGGATCTAAGCCGCATGCCGCTGCCCAGTGGTCAGGCGGGCGAAGATGGAGCTCATGGGCCCGGAGGACTTGGCGAAAACTCCGCGCAAGCAGGGGTTCCTAAACGACTCGAGTCGCTGTCAGCGTAACACGGGATGCAATGCCAAGCTCTGCACCTTCTGCTCTCCTGAGCGAACAGAGACATGTCAGAAGCGGAGGTATCAAGGTTTCAGGGCTCTTATATGGTATCTTTGTGTACTATGTTGTATTAAGTGGTATGATGTTATACGATATTTCATTCTACCGTATTGCATTATGTTGTATCATATTCTATAATATTACATTCTGTGGTTTGATTCCACGATATATTATGTTGCATTATACTGCATTTTTTGTTTCAGATTGTATATTAAATATTATATAGCATCTATTACAGTATAACCGTATAACAGTCAAATTTTATATTATTATATTACAATACCTTCCATTAAACCATAGAATGTTGAAGAACACTACATTATGCCATAACTTGCTATATCATACTATGATGTATATTATCTCATCTTATCTTATCTGAGCTGATCCTGTGTTAAGCTTGTATTATATAACATCATCTTATCATGTACTTCTAGTCATGTCCTATCATATGCGATCATGCACCAAAGGAGCTGTCGATCCTTCCACCGACTGAGACACCAGCGGATTCGTGCCCAGAGCCCGTTCAGGAAGGCAAAGTCTTGGCCTGGCGCGAACTCTTAATGTTCACAATATTTTAGGGTTTAGGGTTTAGGGTTACTAACAGTAATAACACTAGGTTTCTGCAAGACACGAGTCTTTGGCGAACGCGAAAAGGGCCGCTGGAGCCTTCCACGGGAGGCGGCGTTGCGTTGTCCTTGCACTGCTGACTTTTGGGGCTTCTTCCCCCCTCACGGTCTATGTCATGCATTGGTTGGGTGGTCTGACACCTCACACAATCGCTCAGAGAGCTTTGCAACCATGTTGGGAGTGAGGTATTTACAAGTCTTTGGGGCCGTGCTGCTCGAAAATCGCCAGCGAACCATACCCCCACAACCACACAGAATAATAATAGTACTAGTAATAGTAATAGTAATTATAGTAATAACCACTATAATAGTAATAGTAGGATCTAGACGACCCCTACCGATCCGGCCCGGCACCCCAAACACGCGAGCCTATAGCACTGCTGCACACGCCCGAACGGCTCCAGGCAAAGCTTCAGGGTCGGAGCCAAGAGGGCTTTTGATGGCTTAAAGCTTTTGATAGTTTAGAAAGGAACTAAGTATGTGCACCAGTGCTCTAAAGTAACTAAGTATGTGCACCAGTGCACACAATGGTACTGCGTTGCCGCTCCTCTGCATCGGAGTTGGCGCCGCCGGTGCGGGAGAGCGTACTTAGTGCTGACTTCAGACACTGTCTCCTCTCGACTCAGCCTGTAGCTGTCTCAACTCGCCCTATCACAATCCTTCTCAGAACGCTTGACGGAATCCCAAGCCGCCGGCTCTGCTGTGAAGCGTGATGACAGCGGATCAACAGGACCTCGCGAAGCCTCGACCAGGCACTGGCGTCGCTGACTCCTACTAGGGTTTAGGGCTGAGGGTTTCAGCACTCACACTCGGACAAACCTAGGCGAGGATTCAGGTACGGGGCGAAAGCACTTTGGCCGAAGGGGCACATATGGCCTGTATCACTAGCGAATCCCATATTGGATGTCCTCGGTCGCGATATGGTTTAGGGCCTAGGGTTTAGGGTTTAGGGTGCCATGTAGCCTTGTAGACAACTGTAGCGACAGGATGCAGTAGTCAGATTACTCTTGGCATTTCCTTGCAGGCCCAGGTCACTTGAGCAGATGCCGCCTCATCCGCCGAAATCAAAGCCTGAACCACGAGACGATTTGCAGGTGCCGGCAATGCACTCGTTCCGGTTTTTGCAACCCAACGCCACGCATGACAAATCCACGACGTCAGCTCCCGACAAACCGCAGCCTCGAACTTGAGGTCTGCGCCCAAAACCCCGACGAAAAGATGAGGCACGTCAAATCCAGCCGGTCTCTTTTGCCCCCCTGGCGTTCCGAACGGTCGGTCCTTGTAGCCCGACTGCTGCAGGCCACTGCGCCCCTGCAGGAGCGTAGCCCGGTGCTCGATGAGCAGCATCAGGAAGAGAACCTCCGACTAGCAAAACCGGAGCCAAGATTTGTGCATCCCGGCAGCTTATCCCCAAGTCCCCAAGCTGACTCCTCATGACTCTAGAGCTGAAGTGTGCTGACGATGCCGTCAATGACGACCCTGACACTGGGGGGATGGCATAGAGGCAAACCTCGGTGATTCAGGGCCAGACATGCGGGAACTGAGCATGTCTTACTCACGCTCAGTCGCTTTCCGGTACACCCTAAGCCCTAAACCCTAAACCCCTAAACCCTAAATCCTAATTTTGACAACGGCAGCACTTCCCGCAGCCAGGGCCCGGGCCAGGAGCTGATCGACGGTCCACGCGTAGGCAACGTAGGGGGCAGTGCCATAGGAGATGAGAACAAAGCCTGTCATTAGGGTTTAGGGTTTAGGATGCCAGCGCTGAGGGTTCCGGGGTTCGGTCTAGGATTCAAGACTGAAAACTGAGAGGTCAGGATAAAAGGAAACTACAGGTGGGGAGTTTAGGGTATATAGGGCGTCTATAAGGCTTCTATAAGGCATATAGACCTGCTATAAGGCTCCTATAACGGTAACTACCCACATGAAAATGTCCTAGACAGGGCCGGTTAGGGCTTAGAGAGTTCGCTTGCTTCTGTTTCGAACTCTGGCAACTCGGGCAGGGGATAACCGACTGCAGGATGTGAGCTTAACTCTCGGTGAGCGGGACCTAAACCTGCAAATCATCGAAAATCTACAAAGCAATGGCGGCCTAGTAGGATCCAGACGTTGACTCCAGCAGCAGCCATGGTCTGGGCGAACGACCGCACGAAAACGCCAGGAGCGACACGGCGAGGGTTTGGGCTGTAGTTTGTGGAGTTCAGGACCGAGCAAAAGACACCATGACACGAGCCGGCGCCGCAATACTAACACTGAACGAGCTTCCGCCACGTCCCGTTTTGCTACCATCCATCTTGCGACAAAATGTAGCCCTGACCCGCTTCGCAAGCGAGCGCTAAGAATCGACGTGCACTTGAATGGGTAGCGAAAAGTCTTCGGCATATGGCTTGGTTTGGCTATATTCGTGGATGCACATCAGACCCACTCAGTCCTGAAGGTTGGAGAAACCCCGGACCAAGCCTAGATTGCCCTCCAGTCCTTCGCGAGATTTAGAACTACTCTTGCTCTCTGCACTGAGCACCGAGCCAGTGTGGCCAGCGCCTCGGTCTGCGCAAGCTGCCCCTTTCGTTAGTTGCAGCCTTCCGTCGATGTCTGGACCCCGGAGCCCCTGGGCTCAAGGTGGCGGCTCTTTCCAAGTTCTTGGGATACAAGCAAAAACCCCTTCCCTCGGGATCCCTCGGGGCTCCAGCTGGTCCGGAGGGCGCGGTGATGCTGGGTGGGACAAAGCCCAGGACCTTCTTCGAGTGACGATGCAAGACTGAGGTGCCTCCTGGCCCTACACCAACTTCAAAAGCCATCACCGCCACACCATCACAACGTTGTCAGCCGCAGTTGGCCCAGGTCTTCTGTCGTCTAGATCTCAGGCTTTAAGATGTGAGTAGCCTGTGAATAACACTACCCAGTACCATCGTAGACATCATCTCCCATATCAAGGATAATCGGCAGGCCAACGAGGGCCAGACGCTATGAAGCGGGATGTAGGAGGCAAAGAGGAGGCAGAACACGATATCCTTGCTCAGAGGGAGGCACTGCCCCACATTATGCTTGCCAACTGCGAGCATGAATGCCACGGCAGCTGCCCCTCAAATTCAAAACGAGTGAAGCCAGCGAAAACGACTAAGGACTGCACGGATAGCAGCCAAGCTTGTGGAAGGGAGCTCATGAGGAAAACTGTCACCTGGATCAAACCATGTCGCGAGGGTGCTTACCCACGACGAGCACAGCTACACCGTCGAAAGGAGAAGCACGAGCGACATCCCGTTGGGCTCCGGACGGAGAGCGCAGCCTCAGTAAACAAGAGAAGGACAACCCAAGCTTTTGCACGGTTTAACGAGGAATTTAGAAGAATCGTAAACCGATGCGAGCTCTCATGCGCGCACAAGCATCCATTTACCTGGCTGTCTATCTACCTACCTATCTACTTATCTACCTACCTACCTACCGACCAACCTATCTTTCCATCTATCTATCTATCTGTCTAGCTGTAGGTGTGCTCGAGGCCTCGAGCCTGCACAGAGCGCAGCTGGCATTATCGCATGTATTCCACGTAGTCTAGCAGCCTAGCATGCTACTTAGTACTACTTTCTACTTAGTGTACTTTGGGATGTCAAGCGCTATGTCCACGACTTCTCGTGCCCACTCACGTATCAAGAAGTGCCCAAGTTTTCCGGTGC